GACGATGTCTGTAAATTAAATAATATTAATTAAAGTATTTTTCTCTTTATTAATTTAACATCTTTAAATATATTGCGATATCTTTTATATTAATATTTAATCGATAATTTTTTTTACATTATTATTAGTTTGATATAAAATATTTATTTATATGCCCGCAGATCCACCTCAACATCCTCATTTCTTCTACCTTCATCTTCTGGATATGTGACTTCTTAACAGGCCAACACTCAGCCCCATACATCATGGCCGGTCTAACCACCGCTTTATAGAACTTACCTTTGAGTATCAGTGGCACTTTCTTGTCACACAATACTCCAGAAGCTAACCTTCATTTCATCCATCCTACCCTAGTGCGGTGTGTGACATCCTCGTTGATCTCCCCCCCGGATAACCGACCCAAGGTACTTGAAGCTGCCTCTACTCGGGATGACCTATGATTCAAGCCTCACATCCACACCCATTTCCCCCTGCTCAACGCTGAACTTATACTCCAAGTATTCCGTCTTCATCCTGCTAAGCTTGAAACCCTTAGATTCAAAAGCATGTCTCCAAACCTCCAGCCTCTCGTTAACACCGGCTCGCGGCTCATCAAGTATTTATTATTAATACTTAATAATAATAAAAATTACTATTAAGTATTTATTATTTTTTAAAAATTACTATTAAGTATTTATTTCGTTCATAATGATTTGTATGTTAATTTGTTATATTTTACACAAAACCCGGCATTGTCTCTTTTGTACTGCCAACTAATTATTTTATGATTCATATCTAATTTTTGGTTCATATCTACTTTTTGATTCAAATCTAATAATATATTAACTATACAATTAATAATTGATTAAAATTCAATCCATAATTGAGTATTTTAATCGGGTTCGTTAATGAGGACACATAATTATTATTCTACACTAAAAAATACTAAAGAGCACTAAATGCACACTACTCTAAATAGCCATAAATAACATCAATTAACATAAATTAAAATTTATTATCAGCTCTACTACATTAAAGGGCACTACATAACACTAAAGGGCACTAAAATAACACTAAAGTCACATATTATTGTTGTACAACTATAAAAATAGCAAACATATAACATAAATTATTCAACAAAGGAATAATATACAATTTTCATTTAATAAACTAATCCGGATAAAAAATAATTCACAAAACAATCACAATATCATGCAATACAGTAATAACAACTAAATACTCAATTATATATATCACTTATACTAAAAAAAGTGATTCGGAATACCTCATTTTGGATTTTTTTGAATGGAGAAACAATAAAGATTTGACCACTGAATCGGACAATAAACGAGTTCCACTACATGACAAGGCCTTGGATCGGGTGTTAGATCGATAAAATAATAAAGGGACAAGATTTCAGGGAAGATGTGTGGGCTCAATGGAGCTTTTTGGCTTTTAAACGTGGGGGGGGGGGCTGCTTTGC